GCAAACTAGTAGAGTCTGTGGCTGTTATAATAAGAAGTTTATTGCAAATTCATGCCCGGAGGCTAATTGCAAATTACAAACTAACATAGAAGAACAATGAAACAGAGTATAAAATAACAATCTACATAATGAAAGGTAGCTGTCTAAATCTACAGCAATGTCTAAAACTGTGTCAGACTCAGAATGTTGTTTGATGTTTGATGTTTTATTAGATATCCATTAGATTAGATAACAAATCTAATCTATTCTTCCTGGATTCACAAACAGTACACAAATGTAATACAAATTAAGGCACAAAACATAACATAACATAACACTTGCATCCATTAGACTACAACTAGCGTAAAACTACAGAACAATAAACAGTTACAACTACAAAGCAACACGACAAAGCAACACGACATTGACATTGGGAGGTCAGAGGTCAGATACAATTATAATATATACAGCTCCTTGCTTGTGTCAGTACCTTACCACCAGTGCTTTAAGGGTTTGTTTGTATCTATCTTACGAGTTATCATGTCGTTTAAGATGTTCTTGAATAGTGTTGGTGTGGTAGACCTGGCGTGTGGTGTGAGGTTGTTGTGAGATTTTGTGCATCTGTAAACGAATGTTCTTTCCATTGCGGTTGTCTTTGGTTTAGGCAGTCTTAAGCCACCTCCTGTCGCAAGTCGGGTGCTATGGCCATGGGAATTATCTATTCGTTGTAACCTGTCGTAGATCGCTTCTGGTTTTTCAGCTACCAAAATTTTATTGAACATCATTAACGTGTTTTTGTACAGTCTTCCTTTCACTGATAGCCAGTTCAACCTTTCATGCATAGTGTTCGTGTTACAGTTGTACTTTTCATCTAACACCAGTCTAGCTGCTCTGTTTTGGAGAATTTGTAATTTGTCGAGTTTTGATTGTGATCCTGCAGACAGTAAACACGAGCAGTAGTCCAAGTGACCAAGCACCAGTGACTGCACCACTATCTTTAAAGTTTCACTAGTGAGAAAGTCTTTTGATCTCTTGAGAGATGCCAACGCACCTGACATTTTGGACTTAACTTTATCAAGTTGTAGATCCCAGGATAACTGTTGGTCCATCAAAACGCCAAGAAGTTTTGCCTGTTCTACTTGTTCTATTGTTTGATTGCCCATGGTGAGATGTAGATTTGTGTTTTGTTTCAGTTTGTGACGGCTACCTAACACAATGGTCTTGGTTTTGCCCACGTTTAGAACTAGTCTATTTGCTTCTACCCAATTCCATACATGTGTCAAATCAGACTGTAGTTTGCGTTGTATCACTGCTACACTCGGACCTGACGCAGAAGGAGTTGTGTCGTCGGCATACATCACTATGTCTGAATGTGTTACTACTGTAGGGAGATCATTGGTATAAATACAGAAGAGTAAAGGGCCTAAGCAGCTTCCTTGAGGAACGCCGCTCTTGCACTCTTTGTGTGACGATAAACTTCCATTTACAAACACAGTCTGGGTTCTGTTAGTCAAGTAACTTCTGAGCCAACCAAGAGCAGATTCTACAAATCCATAACATTTCAATTTAGCAAGTAAGATATCATGATTAACAACATCAAATGCGGCGCTGAAATCCAGAAGAACGGTACCCACTAGATTGCCTTTGTCAATTTCCTCCAGCCATCTATCTGACATCTGAACTAGGGCACTTGATGTAGAGTGATACTGTTTATATGCGTGCTGGCTGTGGGATAGAATGTCATTGGAGGTAAGGTAAGTATGAATTTGGTATTCCCTGTAGTGTGATGATTTTACGTGTTCTATCAGAGTTCATTTGACTTCACTGGAACTTCGGAACAGAACCGTTATAGCCAAAAGAATAGAACAAGCTTCCATTTGAGGTCATCTGAGGTCATTTGGATGTTTCAATACAGAAATGTACTTACTAGGGGGGTGGCGCGAAATATGTTTTCTTTCGCTCAAAATTCAGATGTATTGACATGGTCTTTATTTTGTTATGTATTGCTAAATAAATTGAGTGATGACAAGACGGTAAATATTTCTATTCAACAACGCAAGGAAACGTGCTACAAATGTCAGCAAAAAGAGTCAACTCCCCTGCAAATGGTTTGCTCCGGGTCGTGCTTTATTGTGCAACAAAGCACACTTGTGAGAATAAAACACACCTGGCAATACTTGTATCATTGTAACTGTGACATTATGGCGTCATAATCAATATGGAATGGGGGCTTCTGATTGGTCAACGCCACCTGGCTATATGATAATATATAATACAGTACTGTGACGATATACAATACAATACATTATAATATACAATATAAAGTTTATTCATTCATTCATACATTGATTCTTAAATTTTTCTTACCAGATGATACAAGATAATATACAATATACATTTTGTACAATATAATCATTTTTAATATGCTGTTCCAGAAATATTACACGATCATATACATTTAATACAACAAACGTTTTATGTAGTATTTTTAGCAGATCCTACCATCCTGAATAGAAACAAAATTAGCTCTATTATATCAATGTCCTCAGACTCCTCAACATGTTGTAATGAGTAGATAATTATAACTAAATAATTTTTACAGTTCTATATTAATATCCCCAACATGTTGACATTGTTATAACCTAACAAATACAGCATACTAACCTGAGCTGAGGAAATGTACAGAACAGGTCACCATGTTGGGGACTCAGTACAGCTCCAGGCAGCTGGCTGTGGTGTCTGCTCCCTCAGGAACTCCATGCCTAGTGTACCTGTATATGGAAAATGGAAAACAGAGTTGCTGAGTTACAATAATTAACATCATATTGTCATTATAACTTGAATAACAGAAAATGGGAGTAAATCTACTAATGAAAAAAAAGAGATTCACAAATCATTTGGTGCCAGATAGGTTATTGCACACTTACATGTAAAACTGGTACATACCTTATAGAAAGTATGTGTACCAGAACAGGAGTGTATCTATTAGGTGCATTTATTACAACTTGATTGTGCAAATACATCTAGTGCAGTCTTGAATGTAGAGAAAAAGACAAATCCTCATCACTCAGATTTCTAACACCTGTTAATCTCATTAGAGTCCCTTTAAGATACCCTGGAGTAGAGCATGTCTATAGGATAACCAATATAACTCACAACAGCTGCTCCAGTGTTGGGTGTTCCTCAGCAGCCTGCACCACAGCCTGGAACCCTGCAGGCGCCATGGAGATGTCATGCAGGTACAGCTCCTCCAGGGCAGGGAGTCTGGGTAGAGCCTTGGCCAAATCCATGGCAGCGGTGTCAGACAGGTGTGTAGGTGTGACCCAGGGACCAGACATGTACAGCCCGGTCAGTGCCGGCAGTGTGCTGATGAGCTGTGCGACCCTCCCCAGTCCGGTTCCTGTTACTCCCCTATTGTACCCGATGTGCAGCTCCTGTAGTGTGGTGTTATAGTGAGGGGCTGTGGTCAGACTCTTGTCACCAGGTGGGTTTTGTTCCATGTCCAAACTGCTGGGCTGGCCAAGTGTTTGCACCAGTGAGACAATCCCTGAGTCTCCTATGTTATTGTCACTCACATTCAACACCTGTAATTGCACCAGGTGAGGCAGAGCTTTGATCAGGGATGATATTCCCCTGTCACTGATACCTGTGCTACTGAGAACCAACACCTTTATGGCTGTGAGGTGGTGGAGGATAGCAGCCAGGCATTCCAGCCCGGGGTCTCCTATGGCATTAACACTAATGTCCAGTTTGATCAGTCTGGTTAACTTACACAGTGCAGGGACCAGTGTGCGCATGCCTGTGGGGCTGATACGGGCCCAACGCAGGTCCAACACCTGCATGGCAGTGAAGGTGTGGAGGACGGTGGTGAGAGATTCCATCCCAGTGTCACCGATCTTATTACCACCTATATCCAGTTCTCTCAGTCCCACTAGGTGGTGCATGTAGGGAGCCAGGGATGACATGCCCACAGCTGTCATCCTGACAAACTCAAGACGGAGTACAGCCAGGTGTGGAACACTGGACAGCCCAACCTGTAGGACTTCCATCCCAGCATCACCAAGGTCAGAGTTCTCAATAAGATCCAGCTCCTCTAACAGAGACATGTGTCTGAACCCCTGCACAAGTGGCTGGAGTGATGATGGTGTTAGGTTTGTCCATGACAGATCCAGTGCCCTCAGACAGGGAACATTCTTCAGAACTGAAACCAGCCTGGCTGTCAGATCAGGGGAGTTAAATGTTACATAGTTCAGTCTTAGGTCTAACTGCAGGCCAGGAACACGTGAGGTGAAAATCTGTTCCAGGTACTGAAGAGCTTCTGATGTATCAACAAAAGGTGATCCTAGTATCATTCTATCAGGGAGATGTGATGACTGGATGTTTTCCAAGTAATACTTTAGAGCAGCATGTTGTTTACTGAGTATGTAGCGGTCCAAGATGATAACTGGTAGAGCTCTGCTGACAGCCTGCAGAACACCCTGCTCCTTTCTTTCATTCAGGATATTCAGGCACAGCAACATGAACCTCTTGTAAGTTTCAACTGACTTCTTAACATCTGGCTTTACAGGTAGGTGGGTCTTCTCCTGAAAGTCATCTGGTCTTAAATGTGAAAACTCCTTACTGCTGAGCTTGCTTAGTTCCTCCATCACAGCTTGTGCTGCCTGTGAGTCACAGCCACATGTGAACTGAAGCAGGTTACTGAGTTCAAGTGACTTGCCTATGGAGGTGAGCTGCAGCAGCTCAACAATGTCTTGGTTCAATTGAGCATGAGCTACATATCGTCCGGCCAGGAACTCTTGCATGGTCTTGTGTGAAAAGTTCAGCTGTTTCCTAGGATGCAATTTAGAGGAAGAATCCTCCAAGGAGACCACGCCCAGCTTTAACAGTAACTCCCAATTAACCTTTTCTCTCTTTACTTCTGTAAGGTCAAGCAGGGTCTCATTCCTCAGCAGTGCCTCTAGTGCAAGCTTGCCAAGCTGCAGTAATGACTCAGCAACCTCTGTAGGCAGCCCTTCTGTTGGCATGTCCACTCCTTCCCGCTTACAGCACTTTCTGACCAGACATGTCAGCAGGTTGTCGTACAGCCCCATCATTGTTCCAGTAGACACCATCTCTTGGTCCTCCTCCCACAGCAGACACACAAACATCAGGAACATTGGTGTATAGATTATAGTGTTCAAAAGTTCATTACTGTCAATATGTACAGCTAGTGTCTTTGTCAGTTCTTGCTTCCCAACAACAGTGAAATACTGCTGCATGTATTCCTCTACAAGTTCTTCAGAGAAGCCCATGATGTGTACATGACAGTCTGGCCGGGTGTACTGCTGCACTCCTGCTGAGGGTCGGGAGGTGATCACAATCGTGCTGTTGGGGTACATCTTGCCAGACAGCAGTTTGGGAATGGCCTGCCCGGCTGCCCTGGCCTCAGGCCGCAGCTCATCATACCCATCTAGGAGGAAGAGCAAACGGGGCTCGTTTCTCTGTAGGATTGTTCTAATGGACTGTGCTTCAATACCTTCAGTTGTTTCATCAACACACTGGTCCCACACCATCTCCTCTATGGTCTCCCCCTCTCTCACCTCCCGGAGTCGGATCAACAGGACGATGTCGTGTCGTCTGCCCAGCTCTGTTTTCTGTGAGACGGCATCTAGGGCTTCTTTGGAGAGAAACGTTGTCTTCCCCCCTCCAGCTTCACCCTCAATCAGAATGCACCTTGGTGCTGTGGACAGTCCTGTGACATCTGGGTTGAACAAGTCGTCTAATGACTTAAGTTCTTTCCTTTGTTCTTCCCTCATTGATGCTGACCTTGTATGTTTTGATTTTTGTATCAACTCTAACTGGGTGAAGATGTCAGTGAGGCTAAGTGTGAAGTTGTCATTCCAGATCAGAGGCTTGAAGTGAGTCAGTTTCAACTCATAGCGCCTCTTGACAGACTTCTGGAACAAATCTGGAATACAAAGGACACTTTTGTAAGACTTCAAAATCAATCTTAGAGAAAATATTATGATTTTTTATGATTTAAAGCTTAAAATGTAGAGAATGATAAAAAAAGTCAGACGAAAGCATGAAGCAGGCTCAAATATGTAATCTGAATATTTGACTGTCACAGGTTTTGAAAAGTAAACATAATTTACACTTTTTTTACCAATTTTTATTGAATTTTAAAGGCTCATAACTGCTCATAGAAACGACATATCGAAACAAAATTAACATTTTTGTAATCCTTAGTTCCTGTGTCATGAGTCCATGAAATTACATTTACCACTCTCCTTTGCATTATAAGTGCAAAAGGACACAGTCCATATGAGGTCAAAGTTCAAGGCCAGATAGCAAGGTCAAAGCTGCCAATATGCATTTACTTCAATATGAAAACTGCTACAGTAAAAAGAAAAAAAAAGTGCATCATCACAAACACAATGGCACACCACAGGCCCAATTACAGAGAAATACAGTTTACACATAACATAACATAACATAATAATGGTCGGATAAAGAGGCTATATAGCCTATATAAATCCGCTTCTTAAGCTAAACGTTTAAACAACACAAAGTTCAGTTCTAAGCTTAAATATTTTTTATCTTTAACTATATTTTTTAGCTGCAAACAAGGATTGGATGATCCAACCCTTCTTAAAGCATGTAATACTTATACTATTATAATATAATCTCCTCTGTTGTTTCAATAAATTCACACAAAAAACTTGAGAGCTGAAATCTCCAAAACAGAGTTTTTTAAGTTTGATAGCACTAAGAGAGTACTGTTACCTTCAAATACTAAACATACTAACCCCATTTCCAGAGCAAACAGTTGTTCTGGCTAACTACGTAGTTACAGTTTGCTGGGCACATGCAGTCATGTAAATATAAAGCCAAACCTTATTAACAAAACTTATTGACAGTGGAAAGTTTAACGTAGATGATGTACTTCCTATCATTTTTGATGTCAATTATGATTCCCACCTGTCAGATTGACACCTGTCACTGAAGTAGACACTGTTCCTGCAGCTTCAGCTGGAACTTCTGCCAGTGCTAAAATAGAACACAAAAGGATTACCTGGTGGTACCATTTTTTCTGAACTCTCATAAAGAACAGTTTCAATCATTAACGTTGCAAATATCTTTTTAAGCATTGTTTCTCTTAAAACCTCAAACTTCAGAGACCAGAACATTTTAGAATCTGCCAAAGGTGGAAGTTTGATCTTTCACAGTGATTTTATTCTTCAGGGTATTTACACAAATCAAAGTGAAAATAAAACATATTTTATTTCCTATTTTTATATTGAGAATGATGATATGCAAGATACAAATTAAACTAGAAAGGCCGACATTTGCTTTGGAATTTTATTCATGGAACATCGAAATGTGTTGGCAATAGTTAGATGGTTAGTAAATTAAAAAAGACAAATCAAGCAATATCAGGCAATTACCTGAGCAAATGAAATATTGCATATAATATTGTGTTGCTGCACTGCAACAATACATCAATCATAACAAGCATTCTTAACACTATATTTTCATCATAAGGTAAGGACAAGATATGTGATATATCGAGTCTTGATGCATTCCATGACAAAAGGCCAGTGCACTAGAAGTCTCGGTGTAGTTCATCAATTAAAGGATGGATTCCACGACTATAAAGGGCAGTAGTATTCTTGGCATGGCAATGGGGGTCATCACTTCATTGAAGAATTCCCCGACCAAAGGCCAGTATTAGATAGCATAAAAACATTGGGACAGTGAACATAACAACATGATTGTGACCCTGTTTACATGGATCAAAATGATAAAAATAACGTTAACTAACTCAAGAGCCTTTGACATATAAGGGATGACCAACATTTTCTTGAATTATCTCTTACCTTCCTCATGTGATTCCCCATCTTCAGAATCAGATTCAGTTCTTGGTTTCTTCGACTTTTCTCCAGGGGTTTGTTCCAGGTGTTTTTCCTTCCTTTTACGTTTGCTTGTGGATGGCTGTGGCTCCCGTAACTCTGCATGCATGGATGAGCAATACATGTACGTTAGGTATGGACCAGGAAATATTTAACTATGTACGATAATGGTTGTTTTATTTCCCATGCCTCCCTTATCCAAATTCTTTTGCTACACTATACTCTATAGATTGTTGCTATATGGGCATTCAAAAGTTCTGTGTACTAAAAATTAAATACAACTAATCACAATCATTGGAATCTGTAGTAGCATCTCATTCCTTATCTAACCGGTAGTGTCATTCTCAAAGTCTCTCACTCTAAATATATCTTCATCTTACACAGACGTTATAGTATCGTAAAACAGAATTGGATCAAGCTAGAGATGTTATTGGGGAAACTTTCATTTTAAGCAACTAAACGTAACGGCGTTAAACATCTCATAAAATCGTCCAATCGATCAATCAATCAATCAATCTTTATTCAAACAACTGGCAGACGATAGTCTGAATTGAGTTGTTTTTTACAGACAACATCAGTTCATAAAATTATCCGTTTGAACTAAACTAATGGTTTAAAAATTACATAATTTCATGGACATGTTATTGAGAATCTGAATCTGTTATAATAAGAAAAGGTAAACGCACCTTCTAAACTCTCTGCAGTCCACTGTTCATCAATGTTAATAAGTGCCTGTTTCAGAACTTGTAGAGTAGCTCCCCTTCCCTTCCTGTTTCTCCATCTGTCCAGCACTTCTCTGCACCTGTGGTCTTGATCAGGCTCATCTGTCCTGATTCCTTTTATTTCATTCCTGTTGAACCCTAACTTCCGGGCCAGGTCGTCCCACTTGTGACTGATGCCATTGATGACTCTGTCGAAATATTCCTCCACATCAACTGTAACGTTTAAGGGCATTTCATTATGACATGAATATAACCAGTATTATGTATGAAGTATGATACTTTAGTGGGTTTTTCTTCCATTGCTTTTGCAGTTGTAGATGCTGGCATTTGTTAACCTTTTAAAGCACCAAACATTAAGGCTACTCAGAGAACGGCAGTTAAACCTTTAGGATTGAAAATCCAAATAAGATCGTTGAAAATTTGAACTGATCATCTAGCAGTTAATCATGATATAATCATATCCTCCACTCAATAACAATCTTATCTTCACAAATAAGACTATTCTTGTATGTCCTAAAGAGTTATACAAATAAGGTCCTGATTTGCATAAATGTCATCTGTAATGAACTTCTTTGTTCTATGTATCATATCTGGTACTTTATTGAACAGGCTTGGCACATAAAATGTGGCCTTTTTATCATCAGAATGGTTCATTCTTACCAGGTTGACTGTCTTGTTGGTTGTCAGCCATTATTTTTCTGGAAGTGGCTCACATGTTACCTGTGTGGTGCAGAATAATGGAGTTTTATTTGTCATCATCATCATCATCAAAAATTAAATTATTTCTACCTGAATTGTAGATATGATAATCATAAACTAAATCATATAGTCACCTTTCCTCAATAAGATACATCAAGGAGGTTAAAATCTCCTTGGATACATGTATGTGGCAGCGGTACATACAGAGGATGGTACCCAGGCTAGATCTGTACAATTTGTCAGCTACATGTATAACCTAATCATGGCAGGATCTGATGTTAAAACGGACAAACCCTACATTCACCAGTAAAGTACAATAAGATAAAACGCAAAATGTTTTAAATTTATAAGCCATAAACGCCAATAAACCACTTCAGGTCTCATTCCGGTATTCTTCCGCGTGGGTACTCTAAAGTAGATCGTACTAAAAATTAAATGCGTGTATGGATGTGTGTTTATATCCGCCAGAAATTGCATTTTAGCTAAGTCAGTTGGCGTAAACCGCTTGTGATATGAGAGGTTGTTTGTATGTGCTAAAATTAGTGGGTAAGTGTTGACATCCGCGCGACAGGTCGGATGTTTACACGCTGTTGTGATGGGTAATGCGGTCAGGAGGTAGCAGCGCTGGAGGACCTCTGGCGGAGAGTGGCCAAGTGCAGTTTATAAATAAATAAAAAGAGATTGTTGGGTTAGATCTGGTTGGGAATTTTTTGACGTAATGTAGGGCCATTGTGCTCAAAATTGATTGGATAGACTAGATGGCTGTCATTCAAATTATTGGGTTTTGGCCTATGTAAAGTTACGTATTTTGCCATAGGCGGCCATCTTCTTCTTCTTCTTCTTCTTTCTGTTGAGGAAGCTGCCTTCAGCGGTTTGAAGATTCTGCTTCCTATGGTGGTGGGTGCATGCCGAGGAGGTCAGGTTTCACAGCTTGCCCCTAAACTCCTCCAGAGAAGGGGAGAGGGCAATGTCTGCATCCAGAGTGTTCCAGTCAGGAATTGTTCGCGGAAAGAAGGAGTTCTGTCTGTAGGAGGTCCTACTTTGGGGCACTCTGTAGGCAGCAGAGTGTGACTGTTAACATAGTTAACAAAAACTCACGAATGGGACCTTCAGTCCAAACCAGCGTCTATGTTATATCGGACTGACGTCACTGGAAATCCCGGGCGTGGGGAATCCCCTTTTCAGCTAACCCGGAAGTAAGCCCCCCTCCCCATCTGCCTTTTTTTCTGTGGTGTCTCCCCAAACTGAACAAAGAGACCATGTCTAGCGATATATTAGACGTTAAACAAGGACAGCAACAACTACAGCTTTGCAGTTGAACTTGACTTTGCTAGGTTTGAAAACTGATGGGTAACTTTTTAACTGGTTTTTCATCCTAATTTTACCGCAAGCTAAGTCCAGAGATCAAAGAAAAGTTACGACCGTAAAGTACCGTTAGAACTCAGCAGTTTTGTGTTCTGATCTCTCTTCTCGACACGATATTGCCGACATATCACACATATCTGGTGGATCCTGAAACACTGAACAGTCGACAGACGGGTTCTGTACTTACTTTCTTCATGGATGTCCCCAGAAAACTTCCTTCAACTTCTGGAACCGACTTTCGATAACTTTTTACTTCCTCTTTCCGCCATCTTGGAACTGGGAACAGTTTATTCGACAATGGGGGTGCTTTCGAGTGAAAGACGAAAAATAATAACCTTTGCAAAATAAGCAAATATTTACGTGTGCTGAAGGCATACTGTTGTATCTTATATGGTCTGTGATATAATAGACTGGTTAATTAGCTATTAATGATACACATTCTTACTTTGACCCCTGCGAGGTGAAGAAAATGGACTGTTCCTCTGGGGCGGTGCCTCTGGTGCAGTGTTATACTCAAGTCTAAAATCTCCATCTCTCTAATCCACAGTGAACGGATTTGTGCCAAAGTTCACGTGCCTTTGCTACTCTGTACAGTCAGAATGTTTTTTGTAAAGAAAAGTTGTATTTTGGAGTGAAGCTGATTGATGCTCAATGTCATAATTTCAGTGAGTTACTAGATATTTTCCTAGTTCTTTACAAAACAAAGGGACTTTCTTGCGTATTGTTCAGCGTTCCGCAATATTTAATTCATTATTTTCATGTCATCACTAATCTTAATTGTGACAAGTGATTTTTTGGCACTTCATTTGACCTATCAAATCAAATACAATGTCGTCTTTTGCTACTTTTGACCGTGTGTTTCAGATGTTTTGCTATGAATGTTGGAGTGTGTAATGTTTGTGCAAATTCATTGGTATGTAATCAGGTAATATAACACTGTGTGTATGTGTATGTGTGCATGTGTGTCACAATTGCATGTGTGTATGTATATGTGTTCATGTGTGTATGTATATGTGTTCATGTGTGTATGTGTATGTGCATCTTCATGAGTGCATGTGTATGTGTCTCAATTGCATGTGTGTATTCATATGTGTATGTATATGTGTGAGCGTGTGTATGTGTATGTTCATGTGTGTGTCATATTAATTGCATGTATGCATTCATGTGTATGTGTATGCATATGTGCACAAAAGGCATTTTAACGCTGATGCAAAGCAATTTAAAAGGATTTCAGGTCCAGTCCTGCTGCCAACCCAACTCCCACTACTAGAGAAGGCTGCCGATCCCAGCCCAGGACGTTACGCCGCGGTGCTGCAATGTTCATGCTCCCTCTCCACAAGAACAGCTACACAGACCACGTACAAACCGCGCATAGCGTCTCGCCTCCTTCTGTAGCTGGTCACAACCAGTTGGAAAGCGGCTCTCCGTGACGTAAGACTAGTCTCAAGATACTTTTCCTTTCACAATACGTCTTGAGACATGTAGACAGCTGCTCGGTAACCCGGCCCGGGTCCTTTGTGTCCCGTCGTTCTTACCGACGCACGTCCGCCAGGTACCCGGCGTGTCAGGTGTCTCCGTCTTTTGTCTCACCTGCGGCCGAACGGTGTAACATTGCACCAACATGGCGGCCGCTGATGATGCAAGACTTGACCGGACATAACACAGCTGACTGGGGTCACTTGTGTTCGCCATGACACGTTACTATTAGCCTCTAACAGGCTTCGGGAGGTAGCCTGGGTACCATCCTACTTGTATAACAGGGCTCCCATACTCACTTCCCTAAGAAGTTCTTAGGGAAGCGAGTGTGGGAGCCCCGGCATACAAGTAGGATGGTACCCAGGCTATTCGGGAGGCGGCTGGACAGAGTAAAAATTGGTCAAATAGAGAGATATGAAATGCCGAGGGTGTTGGTCAGCTTGAGAGTACAACATGTACGTTTCCGAGTACTCCGGGTGACCGATATCTGTACTCTTCCCAGCCGTCTCCCGAAGCCTGGCAGAGGCTAACGTTACCATGGGAACGACCTTCTTGTGTATGTGAACATGAGTGTGTTTAACCCTTGAGAGTGATGGTGAAATCGGAGGTGTGAAGTTACTGGTAATGAAGCGAAGGAAAGTTCTCAAACTGCAGCGGCGGTTATACCGGCTATACAGATACAGAAGTAGTGTTGCAGCCCTAGGATTTGTGTGTATCATAGTTAAATACAAGTTGCCATAGGACATCGGACAAGGGCTCCAAGCAGATGTTGGGGGGATAGATGATGGTAATTTTTTCCTAATGACAATGGGGCTTTTTTGACAGTCCTTTACACTATATAACCATGATATCCACATACCCATGACGGATATTTGTACATTATATAATATATATAATTATATATATATTAAAATTTTGGTACAAATTATATATAAGATTTCCCACTACTTTGTAAATTGCTTAAGGCATATTGTACATAACTTTTCCACTGACTGACTCCAGTTGAGCTTTCTTTTTGTAGAAAAAAACTACAGCAACTACTATATATAAACTAACTTCAACAGCAGTTACAAGGTTTATAACAATAGATTTTATTATTTTATCTGAACTGAACTTCAAAAAATACAGGAACTCAATAACTCTTCATTGACACAAAGATCACACATCTTGATACATACAGAAATACAGATACAGCAAAAATTATAAGAAGAATATTCAGAACTCTTCAGATAATATTATCCAATCTGTTCTCAACTCCTCAAATCTTCCTCGAAACATTCTTCTGCAATATCTGTGTCCATCTGTACTCATCTCACTGACATAAAGAATAAAGTAAAGAACACAGATACATAAAGATTATACACTCTTGCATAGTGTCATCAGGTTGGTATATCTATGAATAATAGGCTCTTTCTTAATTCCAAATCATCCTGATATATACAGATACAGCAAAGATTACAAAAATAATCTTGATACACTAGTACACATACTATATACACTCTTCCATAGGTTAATATGGTTGCTATATTAATGGATATTGTGTTTTTTGTTACACAATTTGTGTTGTTACAAAGAAAGCAAAATCCACACACTGACAGATACAGCTACATGTGTGAGGTAGTACAGTTTTTGTATCTTTACATTGGTCAAAGTACTGCACAAAAATTGTCCCTACAAAATATTACTAACATTTCATACATCATCATCTCACCTCATCCTGAGTGAATTTGGCACTAAAACTGGTTTCTTTGATTCATATCCCTCTGAGCTGGAGTTGTCTGAAACATAAAATGTACGATATTATGTATAAATATGATGTTCCAGAAATATTACACAATCATACATTTAATACAACAATGTTTTATGTAGAAGTTTTAGTAGCTCTTACCATCCTGAATACTAAATAAAAACAAAATTAGCTCTTACTATTATATCAATGTCCTCAGACTCCCCAACATGTTGCAATGACTAGATATTTATAACTATATAATTTTTAAAGTACAGTAAAACTGTATACTGACCTGAGCTGAGGAAATGTACAGAACAGGTCGCCATGTTGGGAACTCAGTCGAACAGACTCAGACAGCTGGCTGTGGTGTCCGCTCCCTCAGGAACTAGCCAAATATAGTACCTGTATATGGAAAATGGAGAACAGAGATGCTTAGTTACATCAACTCACATCATATTGTCATAGCTAAACAACAGAATGAGAAGTAAAACTGATAAGACACTCATAAACCATTTGGTCAGGTGCCATATAAGTTAATGAACACTTGAGTTTGGTACATACCTTATAGAAGTATGTGTACCAGAACAGCTGTGTATCTATATCTATTAGGTAGGTTATTAAACTTTTAATTGTGCAAATAGTGCAGCCTTGAAAAGTACAGTTCACATATATTATCAGTTGGAATTCTATCAAATACTTAATATCTCATTAGAGTCCCTTTAAGACACCCTGGAGTAGAGCATGTCTGTAGGATAACCAATATAACTCACCTCAGCTTCTCCAGTGTTGGGTGTTCCTCAGCAGCCTGCACCACAGCCTGGAACCCTGCAGGCTCCATGGAGATGTTCTGCAGGTCCAGCTGCTCCAGGGCAGGGAGTCTGGGTAGAGCCTCGGCCAGATCCATGGCAGCGGTGTCAGACAGGTGTGCAGGTGTGTCTGAGGGACCAGACATGTCCAGCCTGGTCAGTGCTGGCAGTGTGCTGATGACCTGTGCGACCCTCCCCAGTCCGGCTCCTGTTACTCCCCTATTCCTCCCGATGTGCAGCTCCTGTAGTGTGGTGTTATAGTGAGGGGCTGTGGTCAGACTCTTGTCACCAGGTGGGTTTTGTTCCATGACCAAACTGCTGGGCTGGCAGAGTGTTTGCACCAGTGAGACAATCCCTGAGTCTCCTATGTTATTGTCACTCACATCCAACACCTGTAATTGCACCAGGTGAGGCAGAGCTTTGATCAGGGATGATATTCCCCTGTCACTGATAAGTGTCCAACTGAGAACCAACACCTTCATGGCTGTGAGGTGGTGGAGGATAGCAGCCAGGCATTCCAGCCCAGGGTCTCCTAAGGCATTATAACCAATGTCCAGTTTGATCAGTCTGGTTAACTTACACAGTGCAGGGACCAGTGTGCGCATGCCTGTGGGCCTGATACCGATACAACTCAGGAGCAACACCTGCATGGCAGTGAAGGTGTGGAGGACGGTGGTGAGAGATTCCAGCCCAGTGTCACCAATCGCATTACCACCTATATCCAGTTCTCTCAGTCCCACTAGGTGGCGCATGTTAGGAGCCAGGGATGACATGCCCACAGCTGTCATGCCAACTCCAAAAATATTCCCTCCAAGACAGAGTACAGCCAAGTGTGGAACACTGGACAGCCCAACCTGTAGGACTTCCATCCCAGCATCACCAAAGTCATGGTTGTCAGTAAGATCCAGCTCCTCTAACAGAGACATGTGTCTGAACCCCTGCACAAGTGGCTGGAGTGATGATGGTGTTAGTTCTGTGCGTGACAGACCCAGCGCCCTCAGACAGGGAACATTCTTCAGAACTGAAACCAGCCTGGCTGTCAGATCAGGTGAGTTGAATGTTACATAGTGCAGTCTTAGGTCTAACTTCAGGCCGGGAACATGCGAGGTGAAAATCTGTTCCAGGTACTGAAGAGCTTCTGATCTATCAACAAAAGATGATTCTAGTATCATTCTATCAGGAAGATGTGATGACTGGATGTTTTGCAAGTAATACTGCAGAGCAGCTGGTTGTTTACTGCGGAGGTTCAAGATGATAACTGGCAGGGCTCTGCTGACAGCCTGCAGTACACCCAGCTCCTTTCTTTCATTCAAGATATTCAGGCACAGCAACATGAACCTCTTGTAAGTTTCAACTGATTTCTTCACATCTGGCTTTACAGGTAGATGGGTCTTCTCCTGAAAGTCATCTGGTTGTAAATGTGAAAACTCCTTGCTGCTGAGCTTGCTTAGTTCCTCCATCACAGCTTGTGCTGCCTGTGAGTCACAGCCACATGTGAACTGAAGCAGGTTACTGAGTTCTTGTGCCTTGCTTATGGAGGTGAGCTGCAGCAGCTCAACAATGTCTTGGTTCACTTGAGCATCAGCTACATATCGTCCAGCCAGGAACTCTTGCATGGTCTTGTGTGAAAAGTTCAGCTGTTTCCTAGGATGCAATTTAGAGGAAGAAACCTCCAAGGAGACCACACCCAGCTTTAACAGTAACTCCCAATTAACCTTTTCTCTCTTTACTTCTGTAAGGTCAAGCAGGGTCTCATTCCTCAGCAGTGCCTCTAGTGAAAGCTTGCCGAGCTGCAGTAATGACTCAGCAACCTCTGTAGGCAGCCCTTCTGTTGGCATGTCCACTCCTTCCCGCTCACAGCACTTTCTGACCAGACATGTCAGCAGGTTGTCGTACAGCCCCATCATTGTTCCAGTAGACACCATCTCTTGGTCCTCCTCCCACAGCAGACACACAAACATCAGGAACATTGGGGTTTGGATTAAAGTGTCCAAAAGATTGTTATCTTCAACATGTTCAGCAAGTGTCTCTGCCAGTTCTTGTTTCCCAACAACAGTGAAATACTGCTGCATGTACTCCTCTACATGTTCTTCAGAGAAGCCCATGATGTGTACGTGACAGTCTGGCCAGGTGTACTGCTGCACTCCTGCTGAGGGTCGGGAGGTGATCACAATCGTGCTGTCGGGGTACATCTTGCCAGACAGCAGTTTGGGAATGGCCTGCCCGGCTGCCCTGGCCTCAGGCCGCAGCTCATCATACCCATCTAGGAGGAAGAGCACACAGGACTTGTTCCTCTGTAGGATTGTTCTAATGGACTGTGCTTCAATACCTTCAGTTGTTTCATCAACACACTGGTCCCACACCATCTCCTCTATGGTCTCCCCCTCTCTCACCTCCCGGAGTCGGATAAACAGGACGATGTCATGCCGTCTGCCCAGCTCTGTTTTCTGTGAGACGGCATCTAGGGCTTCTTTGGACAGAAATGTTGTCTTCCCCCCTCCAGCTTCACCCTCAATCAGAATGCACCTTGGTACTGTGGACAGTCCTGTGACATCTGGCTTGAACAAGTCGTCTAATGACTTTAGCTCTTTTCTTTGTTTTCCTGTTAGTGTTTGTATCAACTCTAACTGGGTGAAGATGTCACTGAGGCTAAGTGTGAAATTGTCATTCCAGATCAGAGGCTTGAAGTGAGTCAATTTCAACTCATAGTACTTCTTCACAGATGTCTGGAACAAATCTAGAAAGGACACTGTTGTAAGAACTCAAACCACATGACAAGGAGAATGAGGTAAATAAAATCTGGCGAGGAGCCAGCAGCCAATTTTGCATGAGCAGGCTCTTCAATCCTGAATTCTATCCTAGCATGTCACATAATCCCGTCCATTGTTTCACCAAAAAAACAAATACTTCCTTGCCATCTGAAATTTCTGATTTCTTGTTAGAGTTTTATAAGTTTGATGTGCAACAAGAGAGCACTGGTTCATTTATATTAGTAAATTCTATTCTCAGAGGCAAGAGTTGTTCAGGCTAACAGTATGTTGGGCACATGTAAATGTGAGCTAAATTTTACATCACTGGGCCTACTGGTAGAAAAAAAAAACATTTCATACATTTTATATTTTCTATAATTTCTAACTTCAATACCTGTTCCTGCAGCTCCAACTGGAACTGCCACTGCCAGTGCTAAAAGACAATAGAAAAGGAATATTAGTACTGTTTTTCCTAATCAATCATAACCATCGGTTTGAATAACGTTTTAAATTGTTTCTCTAAACATCAAACTTCATAGACCAGAATATATTAGAATCCATCAAAGGTGGAAGTTTTGAACCATCTGCCATTGTGACAGTGATTTTATTCTTCAGGTTATTATTTTTTTGTCAGGATTGATTAATACACAAATCAAAGTGAAAAAAGTATCTTTATTTTTATCTTTTTAGTAATGCCCACTATGATATTGTGATTGATACTAAAGGGAATGATAATAGCATAAAATCAAATCAGGAAGAGTTCAGAGTAGAGAGTACAGAATACAAACATTCTTACCTTGAAGACCATCCACAACACTCTGTAGGTTTGCCTTAGATAGAGCCTCCATCAGGACCTCTATGGTGGCTCTCTCTCCGTTACCCTTCAGCCATTCCTCCAACAGGTCCATACAGCGAGACTTGTCATCCCGGTTTCTCCCTTCGATGTTGTCGATGTCTGGTTGTTCAAACCCAAGATGGAAGGCCAGGTCCTTCCAGTCTGAGCTCACCTTTTCTTTGGTGTAGTAGAAGTACCTATGAACACCTGTTAAGTGACAAGTCATTTATTTGCCATCAGCATATAACAGACTCTCCCCCTTCAACAATTTATACTGCTATTCACACAGTTAGAAAAGTACTTGCTCGGCAACTGATACCTCATAATATTAGAAATATTTGTACAGTTTGTTGCTTGGTAGCCCTTCCTCCTGACAAGGGGCTTTTTTATTCACTTTAATTGGTTACATATACTTTTCCTCCCTTTTTCTCCTTCTCCAAGATTTAACAAGAACATCTTGGATGAAGAAATGGGTTAGAACATCGGTGATGAGTTTCAAACCTTATTCCAACATTTAATTATGTTTGCCAAGGTATTATAATATAACATCATCTTCACATTGCTTCCCTGAAGAAACCAACAAGTAGCTTATTTTGGTCTTCACATGCTCCTTTACCATTTCATCAAGGACATTATGTATAATGTCCTTGATTTCATGTAACATTTCTCACCTGCAGTTTCACCTGAGCACCCAGCCGCCCCCTGGCCCTCAGCCATGATGACTCACACAGGTGTCAGGTATGCAGTAAGAACACCTGAAACAGACAGGTGTGTGGTTACAACTAGACTTACAGCACCTGAAACAGACAGGTGTGGTTGCAACTAGACTTACAGCACCTGAAACAGACAGGTGTGTGGTTACAACTAGACTTACAGCATCTGAAACAGGCAGGTGTGGTTACAACTAGACTTACAGCACCTGAAACAGACAGGTGTGTGGTTACAACTAGACTTAGGCCGTGTCTATACGGAACCACCCAAGACGCGATTCGGGTAACTCACATTCCTCACATCTGGTCCACGTGCCACACACACCTGTGAAACCATGTCCGAACACAATACGCTTGAGCAACATTTATTGCTGTTTGATGATAACACGCAAGGCGGCGTGTTATTAATGTCAGAGGTCAACGACCTGCTTGCTGATGCCCCCCTCCCAGCGTATCTCGGCCGAATGCCGACGTGGTCCCGCCAGAGGCGGTGAAGCTCGCCCTAGAACGGACACATTATTTGACCATTACTGCTCTTTAAGTTGCTGCCACGTAAAAGTTGGTATTGCATATAAAAAAAAAATATCACTCCGTAATCCATGACCAGGCGAAGTCACATTGAAATCACATTGCGTTCAGACGCAAATCGCAATGCGGGGAAAGCGATTCGAAACCACCTCTAGAAGTGGCTTGGGATCGAGGCGCTTTCAATGTGATTTCGGAGCGTTCAGATGGAGCCACTTGAAACCGGCTTCGGGGTAAACCACATGTAAACCGCCTTGGGTGGTTCCGTATAGATACGCCCTTACAGAACCTGAAACAGACAGGTGTGTGGTTACAACTAGACTTACAGCACCTGAAACAGACAGGTGTGGTTACAACTAGACTTACAGCACCTGAAACAGACAGGTGTGTGGTTACAACTAGACTTACAGCACCTGAAACAGACAGGTGTGTGGTTACAACTAGACTTACAGCACCTGAAACAGACAGGTGTGGTTACAACTAGACTTACA